GTAGGAACGGTTAAGGTTGGATTGCGCATGGATCAAAGATATTCGCATTTCTAATTAGAGCCAGTTTCTAGTTAGCAACTAAGTTATGTCTTCTCATTGGAAGAATGATCATTATAAAGCTGCATCCTCACTATATGTAACAAAAGACATCATGCATACCACAACTAAACCTAACTTAGTCATCTTATGAAACATATATCACAGTCAATTCCAATTATTGTTTTGAAGATCTGTGTTTTTTTCTAATCATCAACTTCAATATTATAGTAGAAACGGTTAAGGTTGGATTCCGCATAGAACAAAGATCGTCGCACTTCTAATTAGAGTCGACTTCTAGTTAGCAGCTAAGTCATGTCTTCGCATCATTATAAAGTAGCATCCACACTATATGTAATAAGAGACATCATGCACATCACAACTAAACCTAACTTAGTTATCTTATGAAACATATATTACAGTCAATTCCAATTATTTTTTTGAAAATCTGTGTCCTTTTCTGATCATCAACTTCAAGATTTTTGTAGGAATGGTTAAGGTTGTATTCCGCATGGATCAAAGATTGTTGCACTTCTAATTAGAGCCAGTTTCTTTCTAGTTAGCAGTCAAGTCATGTCTTCGCATCGTTATAAAGTTGCATCCACACTATATGTAATAAGAGACATCATGCACACCACAACTAAACCTAACTTAGTTATCTTATGAAACATATATCACAGTCAATTCCAATAATTGTTTTGAAGATCTGTGTCATTTTCTAATCATCAACTTCAAGATTTTCGAAGGAACGGTTAAGGTTGGTTGCAGCATGGATCAAAGTTCGTCGCACTTCTAATTAGAGCCGGCTTCTAGTTAGCAGTCAAGTCATGTCTTCGCATCATTATAAAGTTGCATCCACACTATATGTAATAAGAGACATCATGCACACCACAACTAAACTTAACTTTGTTATCTTATGAAACATATATTTCAATTATTGTTTTGAAGATCTGTGTCATTTTCTAATCATCAACTTCAAGATTATCGTAGGAATGGTTAAGGTTGAATTCCGCAAGGATCAAAGATCGCACTTCGAATTAGAGCCGACTTCTAGTTAGCAGCTAAGTCATGTCTTCGCATCATTATAAAATTGCATCCACCCTATATCTAACAAGAGACATCATGCATACCACAACTAAACCTAACTTAGTTATCTTATGAAACATATATTACATTCAATTCCAGTTGTTTTGAAGATCTGTGTCATTTTCTAATCATCAACTTCAAGATTATCGTAGAAATGGTTAAGGTTGAATTCCGCAAGGATCAAAGATCGCACTTCTAATTAGAGCCGACTTCTAGTTAGCAGTCAAGTCATGTTTTCGCATCGTTATAAAGTTGCATCCACACTATATGTAACAAGAGACATCATGCATACCATAATTAAACCTGTGTCCTTTTCTGATCATCAACTTCAAGATTGTCTTAGAAACGGTTAAGGTTGGATTTCGCATGGATCACAGATCGTCGCACTTCATGTTTTCTCATTGCACGAGTAATCATTATAAAGATGCATTCACAACTATACGTAACTTAGTTATCTTATGAAATAAATATTGCAGTCAATTCCAATTATTGTTTTTGAAGATCTATGTCATTTTCTGATCATCAGCATGAACATATTGAAGTAGCAACGGTTAAGGTCGGATTATCATTTGTAACCCTCCCTCCCTATCTGATTACCATTTACACATGGGACTTCCTCGAAGACGGAAAACATTAAGGCGAATCTCCGAGGACCCTTTGATTCGAAGCGACTAAATTGCGAAGGGTTCCCGAACAACTTCTCCAACTTCTCCAGCCCAACAATCCTTTCACGCCTCTTCTCACACTTAATGTCTATTTCAACCGCACCCACGAAAACTCTCACTTAACTCACAGAAACAAACATATTTCTACATAAATTTCAAAGATTTTTAAGTTGCAAATAGTAAAGAAGAAAATGGTTAATATTTTGATTAAGAATAAATTTATAAACGAAAATTTCTGAAACTTAAAAGAAAAATTGATTTTCTTTTTGTGCGAAGAAAGGTGGAGGACAATAATTGTCTTTTATCGAGTTTCTCGTCCCTTCTTCGTACGAAGCAAAGGAACCGAGTGAATTCTTAATGATTCAATTAGGAAGATTGCGTCCGCCCGAAATATTGAGTTATCCCAACTTTGTTACCGGCCAATAACGCAATTAATTCCAAACCGAGGAGAGTGCTTTACATTTAAGAATATCATCAATTTTTTTTTCTTCACTTTATTAAAGGAAATATTAAGCTGATAACAATTGTAACCATTCGCTCATTATTTAATATCTCAACTCTATATATTTTCTTTTTTGTTTGTTTCCAACAGATGATTGATGATAGTTTACGACCGTTGTTCGTTCCTTTAAATTTCGTAGAGAGAGCGTGAAAACATTCCTCGTGTCGTTTAATTGGAGCCCTGTTCTCTCGTCCTCGTCTTCTCTCTCTTTCTCTTCCACTGAAGCGCAGCACGTCCAGTCGGATCCTCCGCTTCTGAGCACGACCGTCGCACGGACCATTAAAGGGAATCCTTTACGAGCTTTCGGGTCAATAAAAATTAACATAAACGCCCGTGTCTTTAAGCCATTCCAGGACTCACGAAAAATTCTACATCTGGACCATCTGGTTCATTCCAGATTTCGCACATTTGCACACTTTCTATTAAGGATTTTTTTTTTGCAAGAAGATTAGAAATGAAATTTAAAACAAAATTAATATCTATAAGTATTAATATTTTCATTCAATAGCAGCGTTTTCGAAGATAGTAGGCGTAGTGTTACATTTATGAACTATTTTCATTCAATAGTTGAGTTTTAGAAAGGTGGAAACTATAGTTTTATTTACTTTTTTATAGAAAAACTTCTTTTGAAGATATGCGGATAATCCTAATTATTGAGATTAAGATTATCCGCAATTAAATTTAAACTCATTGTGATTCCAAATCTATACGCAATTTTTTTTATGATTGTTTTTGTATTCTACATTAATAAATTTTAACAGATTTATAGAAACAGAATTGTGAAAAATCTAAATTATACAGATTCAATTAATCTTTAAACTTTTAGCAAATTCTTAATCTTGAAGTAAATTAAATTTCGCACATTTTCTATTAGTGATTTTCTTTTTGCAAAAAGATTAGAAATGAAATTTTAAAAAGATATATCTATAAGTATTAACATTTTCATTCAATAGTTGAGTTTTAGAAAGGTGAGAGTTATAGTTTTATTTACTGTTTTATAGAAAAACTATAAATCCTGATTATTGAGATTATAAATATCAATTAAATTGAAACTCATTGTGATTCCAAATCTATATGCAAATTTTTTATGATTTTTTGTATTCTGCATTAATAAACTTTAACAGATTTATAGAAACAGAATTGTTAAAATCTAAATTATACAGATTCAATTAATCTTTAAACTTTTAGCAAATTCTTAATCTTGAAGCGGTTAATCCACACCCCTGGATTACCTTTTTTTTTAACCGTAAATTTCCGTTCGGTAAGTTTTCGTTGTTCGCGGCCGGATTTGCTTCAAATTTATGAAGGAGTCTAAAAGGGGAAATTTTCTAATTAGAAAAATTAAGTGCGCACTGCGTCGCCCATTAATCAAATTAGAATTATGGAAATTGAAACGCTCCGGCTCTGTATCAAAATGCATGCTTTTTCCTCTTTCCCCCTTTTAACCAACATTCAATATTATTCGGAACGCAAAAGCTCTTTTGTACCCGATCCAATTTAATCAAGTTTCGTGCCGTTTTATTCAATGTTTCCAATTAATTTTCCGCGAAAAAATAAGCGTATTTTATATTTATTTCTTCAGTTTCTTTCGATTGTGAAGATCGTGTCTGTGGAAGGCTGTGAAACTCATTAAGTGCGGCTGCAGGTAGATAAGTTCTTGTCCCCTCGAGCGAACGCGAATGTCGTAAGTCATTTTACATTTAATTTTCCGGCAGCAGAGGGTAATAATACGGTGCAATAAAAAGTGTATATATGTATAGATATAATGCGCGCTTATAGGCGAGGGGATGATGATGATGGTAACATTTGTTGATTCTTTTATGAGCGTCGGACACGTGTACGATTTTATTTCCGTTACTATGAAAGCAGAAAAAAAAGAGAGATAGAAGGGCGCGCAAGATGGTTGCATTTCCCTAAGGGCTTTCATCAAATTAATAATAGTAGTTTTAATGTGAGCATTGGTTAGCTTCTTAATTTAATGAGTTTAGAAATGTGTAGTTATTAGAATGACTTTCTCTTTGTTCGAGTTAGAAAATGGTATGTTATTAGTCACCTATTCAAGTAACATATGCTTAACTTTCGTTTATTCAAGTTGGTATAACAGTTTACTTATTTATCAGACATCAAGTGTGAGCGAACTTTTTAAGGAATGGTCAAAAAACAAAAGGAAAAAGTTGATATTTTAAAATCTGTTGCGTGCCGAAAATTGATTTGTCACCAATTCAAGTGTTATTAGTGTTTTCATTGCTTAACTTTTGGAAGTTATCAAACATCAATAAATTTATTTTGTTGTTAATTTATTTAATTTATTAATTGAAAGATTAAAAAGAGATTTATTTCATTTATAAAAATTGTATTTATTCTTATATATACAAAATTCTACAAAATGTCTGTCATTTCTTTAAAATTCATTGGACTTACATAAATTACATAACAATAGAATCGATTCAAAGAAATATCGGTGGAATTGAACAGTTCTTGTACAAATTATAACTTATTTTCTTTATAAAATTGTGTATGTTATTAATTTTTTAATTGGAAGATTCAATAGATTTTTTTATTTGTAAAGAAATGTTTTTATATCTTCAAAATTTTACAAAATAATAATCGATTCCTTAGGGATTCCTTCATGAATTCCACTGATATTCTTTTAATCAGTGGAATTCATGAAGAAAGCTTAACAATTCTTGTAAAAATTGCGACTTATTTTGTCTATAAGATTGTGATTCACTTTCTTTATAAAATTGTGTTATTTTCTTATGCGCTCGGAGGTGCGAATATATTTTTAATAAGGATTCTCTTCACTCCAACAGTTGACTTGTATAACCTTACGTTTTGGAACAACTCGTCCAACGTCTTCATCGTCTTCGCCACCTCTTGAATGTATACACAGAATCTGATTAAGATATGATCGTTTTGCCAATCGCACTTTTGCGTGCTGTTATACGTGTCTGCAGTACGATTAAACGTACATTCGAAATCCTCCAAAGATTTCAACGTATTGTGGAATTTATCAATTTCCGTCTTCAAATTTCTTATATTCTCTTTTAACTGTTGGCGTCTGATCACTACCTTACTTCTGTTGGGCTGTCTCACCAATAACGTAAACTCGCGTAGAAGCTTCATATTTTTTAAGATCTTTTTAAGCGTATTCATCATGGTTTTCGCTATTTTAAATACGTCTTTTTGTAGAGTGGTTTTTCCTTTTTCCTTGATTTTACACTGCATCAGAATGCTTTCGCTCTCTAACTCACTTATTGCCATCATTTTACGTGGGGTAATTTGTATGTTTATTTTTCTCGGAATGATAATAGTCCCCATTATAGTCTCTCTTGAAATCTGAAATATTATAAAGACTTAGTTTTAAGTTTGTAAAATATAATATTTTAGTCAATATTTTCTTTACATAAATGTTCTAAAATGTATTGCATACACAAATCTTATGTAACTACAGTGAAGCGATTAGGATTATCATTAATACCTCGCATAGTACGGATTATCCACTTTTTGAAACAAGACAAAAAGAGACTTGATTTTTGTTCCATTAAATTTTCAAACCAGACTGCAGTGAATCTGCACTGTTTGAATCCATACTATATGTATTGAATTTGTAAAACTTATTATTTTAATTAATATTTTCTTGTTACTGTTTCAAATTTTCAATAAATTTCTATAAAATTTTCCAAAAATTTTACTATTTTTTTTGGCCAAATATCCTCATAAGTTCTGTTTTTTGTTGCTTACAATACATAACAATACAATCTAAGATGCATTTCGGTTTTGGAAAGCATATACAAATCTTATGTAACTACAGTGAAGCGATTAGGATTATCATTAATACCTCGCATAGTACGGATTATCCACTTTTTGAAACAAGACAAAAAAATACTTGATTTTTGTTCCATTAAATTTTCAAACCGGACTGCAGTGAATCCGCACTGATTGAATCCACACTATTTGTAATGAATTTGTAAAACTTATTATTTTAATCAATATTGTTTTGTTACTGTTTCAAATTTTCAATAAATTTCTATAAAATTTTCTACAAATTTTACTATTTTCTTTGACAAAAAATCCTTTTTTTTGTTGCTTACAAATATTCTCATTACATAACGATACAATCTAGGATGCAGTTCGGTTTTGGAAAGTCTTTTGCTGCGGTTGTTCGTTTCAGACGAATAAGTGGAGAAAGAATACATGAAAAGACAAAATAAATGAAACGAAAACATGATTTTAATGAGGAGAAAAATAGGGAAAATTGCATAAACGTGCGGGGGCATAAAAATTCGTAATGCGAGCAAACAGAGCGCACTATTATCGTTCGCTCGAAAGTGCTACATTTCACGGATCATTGACAAAACGCAATTACAAAATCGCGAACGGCGGCTTCGAAACGAGCCGAGTAATGAGATCTAATTAAGACTTTATTAACTGTTCTGCTCCGAATCGACGGGGATACAAGAAAACAATGCGAGATTTCCTGTCTTACTCACCGTAATTTAAAAAAAAACATCGATGCGATTTAAAGAATATGGAGCAATAAGTAAACTGAATGTATGTAGCAACTATTGTTTATATATATAACGAACTGAAAACATAAGGATAAATAACAAATGTATCTACAGAAACCGGACTAATCGAGGAATTCAAATAAAAAAACACAATTAGAAACTTGACTATATGAAGCGTAACATCATTGTGTTTTTGAAGTTGCAATAGTGAATCCGGACTGATCGAAGCCGCATCTTGAGAGGTATTCCTGAATTAGTATTAAAAAAGAGTATTAATCACTTCAAATGTTAACTTTTACCGTATTTCAATTTAGTAAGAATGTAACTATTTCAGTAAATAAACGTTAGTTAATTCTATGTCTGCTCTATGAAATATGAAATGTAAATGGAAATCATTAACTGAAGACAAATTTAATTACAAAGACTAAAGTAAATAATACATCAAAACGCAATAATTTGTTGGATGAAATAGTTAGTATACTGTACTTTGCTATTCCTTGAATCTTTATCAGAGAACACTATTTTTGCAGTATCTTCCACTGTTTCACAAAACCTCTCGCTTTCTAAAACCAACAAACTCTTAGCTTCATCCATTTTTTTCTATCCTCACTTTTTCTTATTTTTTTTTTGTTTTTAACTCAGACATGATTTGATAAAAATTTTGAAAAAAAAACAAAATTGATAACAATTTTTACAAATTGTAAATTTTACCCAAAAATAGTAAATATCAATACTAATACTACTAACATTAGTTTATCAATCTAGTAATAGGAATAATAAAAATTTGTTGAAAGATTAATCTTAAGATTTGGATTAAGAATTCATTAATAAAAAGGACCAAATCTAATTCTTTATTAATGTGCATTTCAGGACAAAATTTTAATACTGATATTAGTGTAACTAATTTTTACTTCCTAATATTGGGATTTAAACAATTTGATGTATGGATTTCGGCAAATACAACTAAAGTGCATAAGTTTCTTAGTAAAATTTGATCTTGAATTCATCTGTGAAAAATTGAAAAAATCCAAGGAAATAGTATAGATAAAATTAATGTCTATTTAGGACGAAAATGTTAGTAAGAATTATTAATACTGATATTACTTTTTCAACATTGAATTTGAACATTTCAGAAAATGCAATTTGAAAATGAATTGAACTATTTTTTTATTGTGAAATTACATGAAAATTACAAAATATTCAAGGATTATTTATTGATAATATTAAAGTACTAAATCCGATTCCTACAAGTTGTTGAACTTTTGTTTCTAACTCAGACATGATTTGATAAAAAAATTGAAAAAAAATCAGAATTGATAACAATTTTTACAAATTGTAAATTCTACCCAAAAATAGTAAATATCAATACTAATACTATTACCATTAGTTCATCAATCTAGTAGTAATAGGAAAATTTGTTGAAAGATTTAACTAAATTTACATAAGAATGAATGAATGACCATGAATGAATCTTAAAATTCGAATTAAGAATTCATTAATAAAAAGGACCAAATCTAATTCTTGATTAATGCGCATTTCAGATCCTGATTTTACTTCTAATATTGGGATTTAAACAATTTTATGTATGGATTTCGGCAAATAGAACTAAAGTGCATAAGTTTCTTAGTAAAATTAGATCTTAAATACATCTTTGATTGAAATATTCCAAGAAAATAGTAAATTAAAAGATTAAATATACATAAAATTAAAGTACTAAATTCGATTTCTTATCTATATATTGATTAATGTCAATTTAGGACGAAAATCTTAGTAAGAAAATCTTACGTTAATATTATTTTTTTTTTTCAATATTGAAACAAATATATGAATTTCAGAAAATGAAATTAAATTTGATAATGAATTGAACTATTTTTGTATTGTGAAATTACATGAAAATTACAAAATATTCAAGGATTATCTATTGACAATATTAAAGTACTAAATCGGATTTCTACAAGTTATTAAACTCTCGATTTTGTTGTGTTTTCAACGACTTAACAAACTTTAACTAATCAATAAAAATCTTTATGTTTTAGAATTCATATTTATAGTGTAAAAATACAAGTAAATAGCGCACAATTAAAGGATTAAAGTTATAAAAATCCAATTCCTGTAATTCCTCTGATCTTTAGTTTTTCTTATGATTGATTGAATATAAAAAAAGTGAAAACTTTTGCTGCAAATCGGATCACGGTCGGACCTAATTACCATCGCCAACCAAAAGAAACAGGGTCGCAGATTCTTCTTTGTCTCTTTCTTGCATGAGCGCGTTTCGTGCCGATGGATGATGGAAAGCTTTCGGGTTCTTTATTTTTATTTTTTTTGGCTTGCGCAACACGTGAACGGAAACCCACATGGCACACTCCGGATCCAAAGCCGCCCCCGCCTTATATATCAACCAAGTACATAAACTACGCACACACATATATATATACTTATATATAGGTCGTATTGATTGAGGACCTTCTCCCTCCTCTCCACCTCCCCTCGCGCCATTCAGCCACCGCGAGTGTGCGTTGCGTTACGTAACGCAATCCGTAATGCGCGTAAATCAATTAGCGAATCCCGAAACTGCGAATTACACAACATCAACACATTCCCAAATAATACAGGTGTGTGTACGTGCGCGCGTATTGTACAATTCCGCACAATTTAATAGTCGATGATTTTCGTAATAATCCAGTTTCAATGTCAACAGTGAAACCTTCAATGGAGCCCCAAAATTAATTAGCTTACGCAATTTAAAGTGCATCCAAACAATTTTCATATTTGCCATTAATAAATTTCACAATCAGCTTAATTATAATGTATTCGCAATTACAATCGTGCACAAATGTTATTTATGAATGCTTTTAACGACGTTTATTCGAATGCAAATTCATTATATTTAGTTTTATCATAAAATTTCATTAATTTCAAAAAAATTACAATTTAAACTATGAAAAATTTACAAAAAAATTGTCAAAAAATACTAAAACTTTCAAGAATTTACAATTATCCGGATTTACTATACGATTTACTAATCCGATTTTAAAACCAACTAATTTTAATTGATACTTAAATAATCGTCTTTATACAGTATAGTTTATTTTGAAAGTGTTTTCACGTCTTCGATCAGTCCGGTGTTAAATAATTGTTGGAACCGATTACCCGCACTATTCGAGGTATTGCTGTATTTATATTTAAATATTTGTTTCTCCTTCCATATTTATTTATTGTATTTTAATGCATAGTAAATCATATCGTGATTAAGAATTAATTACATTTCATTCACCGTTATGAGCTGAAATAGTATTATGATATAATCTTAATATATAATTATAAGGAAATTGTAAATCCATTAGTTTCAGTCATTGAATTTCTGTTCCAATATACGTGCCAATTATAAAATTGCCTCTTTTTTCATATATCAACAATAAATTGTATATTCTTAAATTAACCAAACAAAACAGTTAAAGTTAACTTTAACACCAAGATCAGATATGTTCTGAAATATTCACGAAACTACTTGAATATTTTGTTTAGTAATTATTTCATTTCAGGTTTTTACGGAACACTTATTAACATAGTTTGGGAAACCCTGCTTTAAACTATCATCAAAACTAACTAAAGTTAACTTTAACACATAGATTAGATCTGTATTGCTTTAATGCGCATAATTCATATTCATGTATCAACAATAAATTGTATATTCTTAAATTATCCAAAAAAAGAAGTTAAAGTTGACTTTAACATGAAGATCAGATATGTTCTGAAATATTCACGAAATTACTTGATTATTTTGTTTAGTAATTATTCCATTCCAGGTTTTCACGGAACACTTATTAACATACTTTGGAAAACCCTACTTGAAACTATCAACAAAGATAACTAAAGTTAATTTTAACACATAGACCAGATCTGTATTGCTTTAATGCGATAAAACCCAAAATTTAGCTCGAGTTGTTTTCGCACGTTTTAACTGGCTTCAATTCATTATTGCGTTTTCGTATAGTTTTCAGGGCTGAAAGAGAGTGGGTGTGAGGGAATTAGCGAGCGGGTGGGTTCTGTGTTAATTTTAATGAGGGTGCGTGGGTGTCGGAAGACCGGTTTTCAGCGTTTTCGGCCAATAAAGCTCTCCGGCTCCTATTTCTATGCAAATTTAATTTGCGAACACCCACGTAAAGTTATGAGATACATGCGCACATACATATACATACACAAAAAGCCGTTTTTGAATAACTTCCCCCGTAATTCCGCAGGGATTTTCCCACTTCCAATATCTGCATTCTCTTATTTGTTTTTTATTCATTTTTTTTTGTACATTTTCAGAACTTTCAGCACTTACATCTTTGTATTTAATAAAATTGCATGGTGTGAATAACAAGTTCATAATTTTTACATTTATAGATGTCGCTCGATTTACTACGAAATAATTGACTACTATAGGTTTTAATAGTTATTTTTTAGTTGCGTTAGAAGAAGTTCTTTATTTTGATTATTTGTGCTGAAGAAGGAAGTTTTGGTTTATTAGGAGAAGCTGGTTACTTTAATTATTTGGGCGGAAGAAGAAATCCGAAGAATAAGTTATTTTGGTTTTTGTGTTTTGAATTGATTCCTGCCTTATTGGCGCGTAATGCTGAAGCCAATTGAAGAATGGGGAAGGAAGAAGAAGGAGAAGAAGGAGAATAAATATGTATGCAGCACTATAATAATATTTGAGATTTTAACAGATATTTACGTTAATAAAGGTAATTTTTTGTACCGTGCGAAGAAGTAAAGGAAGGATAAAAGTTAATAATGAGAATACAGAAAGTCGAACCTGCTTCCCACGACTCGTATCGCGTCTTTCCTGTTAACACTCATCCCGCTTTGACAAGGTGAAAGGAACCGTCAAAAATCTCGAGAGCAAGAGAAATAATTAAATCCAGTTTTAATTAATTGATTAATTAAATAATTGGGAAGTGTGTAAAAAGTGTGTAACTCAAGACTCCGGTACTATCGATTTTCGTGTCGGACGTCTCGAAATAAACGAATGGGTATTTAATAATGGAAAGGTTCTTCGGATGATCTGAAAGGAACCGGAATGGGTGTTATTGCCTTACGCAACAATATAACAATTTGGCGCGCCGCATGGGTCTGAGAGATTCCTCGTTGTAAAAGGGGACGATCCCTTCCTTCCCTCTAAGGGTTCTTTCACTACCTCCGTCCCTCCTCCACTCCTGAGTGCAAGCGAGATAGGATCGAGTGAAGAAATATGTGCCGCAATAAACGGGCCGTAAATCTCTTCCCATCGATCCTCTCTCGTCTCTTCAATTTATTATTATCATTGTTTCTGTTTGTTTCTCTTGCCTTCTATTTGGTTTTTTTCTTCTTTTCCAGAGTCTCAGTCTCAGGAGATAGGCAAATATGTGCTCGTTCCATTATTGCCTTTGGTCGCGTTTGAAGTGGCACTCGAGGGGCGGGTGGGGAAGTTCGGAAGGGGATTCCCCGGTTGCCGCTCGTTAGCGCCGGAACGCTAATTACCGTGCAAATTGAGCCCACGTTTATATTTCGTTATCGTTCCCTCTCTCGCTTTCTCTTGTTAAC